TATGAATGAATTATTTCCAATTTTGGTTGTCCAAATAAGACTTCATCCTTTTACTCAAAATACATCAAAACCATGACAAAAGAAATTTTGCCGAGGAATATGACAGAAAACAACAAAATTCTGTAAAGGAATTATCCTTCAATAAAAAAATTAATTAATTAAAAATATTTTAGTAAAAGTGTGGCTTTTGAAAGTTGTACATAGTGTGAGGCCTTGGGGCAGAATTGTGCTTATATTGCTAACGGATGCCTCTTTCCGATGCACTTTGTTAATTCAAGATCAGAACAATGCAGGCATCCTGGGAATACTGAACACAACACAATGCATGAAAGCATCATATACCTTTCTCCTGCTCGTCAGAGATTGCTAAATCACGTTTCACGTTTATTTCTAATATCAGTGAGAAGCTGGGGAAGAATGATGCGACAGAGATGCTACAGCACAAACACAGGTCCATGAGCACAGATTCTTTTGTCTCTGAGACATACCCTACCCATCTCTCTCTCTCAAAAAAAAAGTAAGAATATTCTTTGACACTAAACCATATTTGGACAAATTCATTGCCAAGCGGAAAATCAGGGTATTGCTCCCTGTAGAACCATGGAGGATGCCTGTTAGAGATTAGGAGGATATTAGCAGCTTGTTTGCCCAAAGGCAAGCGAGAGAATCGCATCAGAGCCGAGGCAGGGCTTTCAGGATGAATCTAATAGTTTTGCATTTGCTTCTATTGGTGCGTCGTTAATGGCGCTTCTGAGTCCTGGAGACCGTCCTTGTGTGATACCTTTTAATAAGGTGAAGGCGGGAGGCCTCGTGTGCTCGCTCACATATCCTGGTGGCGAGTGTGGTTCACGTCCCCCTGATGTGGGGTGCCCTCTGGACCCTGTGGGACAGCAGCCCAGGAAGGGCAGGGACCCCCACCCCTGGCTAGGTCCTCTCGGTTCCCTAACCAGCCAGGTGGCTCTGGACAAGCCGCATAGCTCGAGGTCTCTTTGAAATGAGGGGTTTGGATGGCATGTCCCTGGTTTCCTGTGAGTGCTAAATCTTTATGATTCTTGAGCAATGGAATGGCTCCCCGACCCCCCGTGGAACAAAGCAGCTGGCTCCAAAACAGAATGGAAGTCGTAAGTTTTGGTATCAGATACATATTTCAACGCCCTTCAGGACATGTCTGCTGTTTTAGGATGGTAATGCAAAAATACAGGCAGAATGACAGTAACCAAGGGAACACCTAGTGTGCTGGATAATTTTAAAGAGATCTAATTGATAGAAAGCAGTGAAGGACTAAAACTTTGCTTTAAATAAGTTCAACCCACTTTTATGAAAATTATACATTAATAAAGCCATGGAAAAAATTTAAGCTTAAAAAAAAAAGCAGGGAAAGATTAAAACTAGAACAGGAAGGCAGTTTTGCAGTCATCATCACAGTTTCGAAGGTAATGGCTGTTGGGGTGGCTCCAAGGAAGGCACCTGATTTTTCCATTCTTCTCTCTCCCTGAATACACCATTTATCGCACATGCCTTCTGCAGTTTTGAGTTTCTGAGGGTGCTCAAGTTAACAGAGGAGTAATAGTAAAGCCCTCACATAGCACATCAGAGGGACTGAGGTTTGCCTGTGTGTTTATGCTCGCATGATGTAAACAGTTTTGATCTGCAGATGAAACTTGGCAAAGGCCCCCCTCTCCGCTGCAAACTGTTTTCGGTCCATGGAAAGCAACTTGAACAGAGAGGGGCTGGGGGTACACATGCACCCCATGTCAGCCAGTGCTCTGAGGGTGTGCGGGGGGGATGGGGCCAGACCCACATGCTCTCCCCCCAGCATGCCCTAGCCCTCCCCGGCTGCCCAGCTCCCCATCCACGTGTTCACACAGGGCTGGAGGTAGGGCTCCAGCCGGCACTGCACCTGCACAAAGACCTTCCTCCCAGGCAGGGTCCCAGGAGCAGCTCACGAAGCATCCTTCAAGGTCCGTTTCCCGTTTCCACACCGAAGGGGCTTGTGAGCTACAGCTGCACCACTGCCTTTTATCCTGAAGTGGGTTTTAAAATGTATCCTTGGAGGAACAATTGCGGGACGCTTTTCCTCAAAAAATAGTGAATTGGCAAGATCACAAATGATCATTCCGAAAGAAATGCAATAAAAATGACCAATAGGTGGTGATTTTGGAAGAGGGCAAATTGTGTTTTTTCAAAGTGCCCCATGGGTAAGACTGCTTCAAGGTTCAACCTTTGAATGTTGAAGTGAGTGAGCACATGGCACGGTTAATGTATTTGAGAATGACTCTGTGTGGAGAAGGCTGTGTGTGGCACAGCCGTCTGGGAGAGTCAGTCACTTTTCAGACAAAATTCTGCAAGGAAAACACTTAAATCAAGCCCCTGTGTGTGTGCTAAGTCACGTCAGTCGTGTCCGACTCTTTGAGATCCTGGACTGTGGCCCACCAGGCTTCTCTGCCCATGGGATTCTCCAGGCAGGAACACGAGGGGTTTGCCACGCCCTCCTCCAGGGGATCTTCCTGACCCAAGGGTTGAACCCAGGTCTCCTACACTGGCAGGCAGGTTCTTTACCGCTAGCGCCACCTGGGAGGTTCTTAAATCAATTGATATATGATTAATTTCTAAATCTGTGAATTATACAAAGTTGAATTTAGTAAGTTTTTAAGATGAATTAGAGCCAAATACGAGTCAATGATGCACGCCTTTTCAGTCCATAAACTCTGATTTCTTAGCTTCTGTCTTATCCTCTGAATGGAATCCTGTCTGAAAATCAGTCCTGGCTGCAGCCGTGTCAGGCCATTTTTAGTCCTTTTCTGTATCAGGCAATGTCCAAACACAAGTTAAATCATTCAATTCATTGAATTCAATTTAAGTAAAAATTGTTGGCTTTCAGCATCTGGTGAAATTTAGGGTACTTACTGGTAATACAACAAAGCTTTCACCTTGGATGGGTTTATGTTCTGGTACCGGAGAGACATTTATCCCAAAATATATACTATATGTAGAGACTGGAAGTTATTTTAAGGAGCACAGAACACAAGGATTTGATTTCTGGTCAGAAGAAAGAATAACAAAAACCCAAATCTGGGATCATGTTGTTAAAGTTAAAAGGAGTGTTTTTTTTTTTTAAATCAAGATAAAGGAGTGTTGATTATGCCTTTAGTCTATTGTTTTAACACAAAAGACGCTTCTGTCTCACTATTGAAACAGTCTTCCTGATTTCAATTGATCTATTAATTCATAGCTATTATAATCATTCTGGCAATTAGGTTTAGGGGCCCCTCTGCTATAAAAATTACTATTTCATACTGTAATTATGATGTTAGCAATAACTCATCCTATTAAAATACTTGCTGATTACTCTTAAATTTGTAGCCTCTGAAAAGGCTCCTATATTCAAGGTTTATAATATTCAGATGTTCTGTGATTCATGTGAGGCCACTAAGCTAGGCCCACTTGGAATCTATGAAATGTCAAACCAGAAAAACAACAGCACTTTATAACCTCAGCTAGTGCATGCCCTCATTTACAATTTTATGGTGCACCCTCTTGATACTGAGAACTATTGGGATTTCTGAACTCTTTAAAAGCCATCTTTATAAAGATTTTCCTGAGCCAGTAATTTTAAATGACTATGGTACCTTGTCAAGCGCCCTTAATTAAAATCATCTCCGACTGTCAGCAAGAGGAATGGACTAGAGGATGATTTAAAGACTACAGACAAGTCTGGGAGAATGGTATTTTCCATCATTTTAACATTTCCCTTTTGCTAAAGTGATTGAATAGATTATTTATGAACATCAAGCAAATTTTCTGGAATTAAAAAAAATAATTATATCCCATCCATTTTCTGGTACACCGCCCTTGTCAGAAGAAAGAGTCTAACCCAAGCAACAACACACTGGCTGTGCTGTAGACTTAACACCTTTTGAATACTCAAGGCCTTGTACTGTTGGTCCTGATGCATATTTCCTGTTAAATAATTTGCTTATTTGGGGTTTTCAGCCTCTGAAATTCCACTGGGGAAGACACACAGATAATAGGCATTATAATTGTAGTTAGCATTCTCTACAGCAATGTTATAGGGAGCAAGTGGGGAGATAGCATTACCAGATATTGGTTTTGGTCTTTATTCTTGGTGGGAAGGGACACATGACGTGGAAGGGCAAAGCTGTGTGTTCTGAGCTGGATTTGTGTGCATGTGATCAAACTAGAATGTTAGAAAGCGGTGCAGTCTCATTTCTCCTGCCCTCCTGGTTAGTCGTACAAGGCCTTCGGCTCACCGAGTTTCAGCTGCTGACCCGGTGACTAAGTCAACTGGGAGAGAAGCAGCTTCCAGCAGGACTCCTGCACACGGAGCTCTGTGTCCCTCAGGTCCTCCTCTATGGGTGATGCCAGACACGAGGCTCACTCCGTCCGGGCCACCCCCGCCAGGGGCTGTGCAGGTGGGAGGCTAGGGGGCTCCCTCTCAAGTACAAGGTCAAGACTTAAAGTCTGGGGCCAAGCTCTGTCTTCGGTTTTGTGGTTTAGATCTACATTCAGGATCCAGATCTGGGTGCAGAATATCTCAGGCTGAATACAGTTGGGATCTTGCACAAAGAATTGGAACTGAAGAAGAGAACTTGAAGGGATCATCTTCTTTGGTCTGAAGGCTTGTTGGTTGGCCTCCAACTCCCACTCTGCACAAGATCAATATAACGGAAGGTTGACGGGGATGAAGGGAGTCAGATCAATTACATTTGAATTATCATATTACTTTAATTTTTGATGACAAAGAATTCAAAGAAACATTCCCCCCACCCCAGTTTCCTTATATTCTTATAAAAATCTGTATCTGGCAGAGACTATTATATGTTTCCCTGAGGTCTATAGGTTTTCACATGTTTTGATCAGTGGTTTGCGTATGATCCACACTTAATTTCTAGGTTAATCCACATTTGCTTTTAGGCAACTGTAAACCAGATGTTCTTGGGGGAAAAAAAAAAAGCTGAAGCCTTTTATTTTTGTGTGTGTTTGTGTGTGTTTTGCTTGGGGCATAAAAATCATTTTTCCCCCTTCAGTGAGGTTGTTTCCAATTACGTTTGTGCTACAAACACTTAAAAAATTAACGGATGTATTTGGTTATTAGTTTATCTTTCAGCATGCTGGTATTAATGCAGTCATTATGTTAGGTACATTTTTAAAAAAAGCTACTCAAGTGACAAGCTCAATATCATCAAAAGTCCAGGGAATTTGGCCCCTTCTCTGCCTCCCCAAACACAAAGCTGGGGAAACCACCCAGGGACGCACATGTGCACAGCATGTGGGCCGGCCGGGTCCCCAGACACTGACATACCTGCCCAGCCCACTGGGCTATTGCGGTGAGAACCACAAGCCCCGATGTGGGAGGGCCACCCATCCCCGGGCACCTGGACATCCCGGCCTGCACCCGCTGTGCATCTGGTGGGCAAGTCACGGAAACGCAAGAGGAATTCTGAACATCCACTGCCCTCCTAAGGACTATCTTACACAACCAAGACCAGCAACCACACTGCTCTGTGTCCTCTGGGTCCTCAGTGACCCTACCCCAGGAAAGCAATTCTAGAGAATGCCCTGTGTGGGGGAAAGGCTTTATCAGCTTGACGGCCTCATGTTTGCTCTATTGCCAGGGAGACCACTATCCCCATTGGTCTGGGGCTGAGCAGTCTCAGGACCAGGCACCTCCGCTTTAGGGCTGGTGGGGTCCCTGAAACACCTGTCTTCTGGAAAGGCCTGCTGACTTCTGGACTTCAGTGTGTGAAGTCCCAGGCGTGGCTTTTGCAAAACTGAAGTCAGAGAGGACTCTTCCGAGTGAGATTATCCTGGCTCTTAGCTCAAGAGACTAAAGCAGAGCAATGAAGGACTTATTTCAGCCCACTGACAACAAGGACAGGAGGGGGTCCTCCGTCAGGATAGCTGGGCTCTCGGAGTGGACGTGCAGTGCGGGGACCCCCCGATGCTCTTCCCTCGTCTCCTCCTTGCCCAGGACAGAGGCCTCCCTTGCCACATGCACCCTAGACAGAGAGAAAATCCAGAAAAGAGAGAGAGGTTTGCTGTGTGTTCAAGTTCCAGGCATGGGTGAAGATGGGTCCAGTTTTGGTCTCAAGCCACAAATTCTGTACAGGGACCATGACCATGGATCCGAGCGACTGGGACCACTCCAGCCTGGGTCATGTGCTCATCCATAGCCAGTGGGGATAGTCCGCCAGTCTTAGGACAAACGCCACGTCTCAGGGTGGGAAGCAGCAGGACCCAGAAGGCAGGAGAGGCGCTGTCCCCTAGGACAGCAGTGTTGTCTGCAGACACCTGCTCATGGCTCGGGTCCTGACCTTGCGCTTCTCTCCATGTGGGCCCCAGGACGTTCTTAGGGCCTGGCGACTCCGCTGCCCGTCGCTGAGCTCAGCAATTGGATGGAAGCACAGTCTCTGGCCTCAGAGTTGAGCCGGGTTTTCACCCCACTCTTCACCGTCTCTGTTGTCTTCTGGTGATGCGCTAACCTCTCCGAATGTCCGAGTCCTTGTCTGTAAGGACCAGATGATCAAAAGCATGTCAGAACTCTGAGAGCACGTTCCAGAAAACAGAGAGCAGCCGCCTCCGTCAGGAAGGAAGGCCCCTTGCAGCCCCCGAGCCCTGGGTGAAGCCGCTCCGGGCCCTACCCTCCTCCTGGTCTGTCCCACCACCGCTGAAGCCGCGGCGGACACAGCGCTTTTGCCGACCAGCGCGACACCCCCAGCGGATCCGTGTGGGCGGGAGCCCTGCCTTTCTCAGAGCTGGTCTCACTTCACTCTGCCCTGAGAGCACACTGTTGGGGGCCTGAAGGGTAACCCTCTCACCTCTTCCTTCCTAGAAGACCCCCCACACACACACTTGTTCGGACTCACCCTCTGCTTCCTGGTGTGGAGTTCTAGACACGGTCCGTTTGGTCTCCAGCCCCCAGTGTGGCTCGGGGAGGGGACGACCTGCGCACGCCCTGCGGGGAGGACCCGGGCTTCCGGGAGGCGGAGTCCGCAGGCGGGGTGGGCGGATCCTGCCCGGAAGAGGCGGAGTCTGTGTGACTCTCTGAGGGCAAGACGGGGAGGAAGCCAGGAAGTCGTCACAGGGACTTTGTTCTATGGCAAATTCCCACCGAGAAGAACTGAAGCCATATTTTTCTTGCTGTACAATGTATAGTGACAGTCACTGGGATTTTTAGAGAATCTATATAATCTTGTAGAGATTTCTAACTACATCTGAGGATGTGAGCAGTTTCATTAATCATCTAAGTCAAGTGGAGCTAGAACATAGTGGGATGTATTTAATTCCTTCAGTTTATTCAACAAACGATTGCTTTATAATTAAATGGACCTTAGGATATGAAGACGCAGAGGGAGAAGTCATTCACTGAAAGGCAGCGCTGCCGTTAGTGTTATTTTCCTAATTTCAGCTGCTGCCTTTTGCGTTTTTGATTTTGAAAAACAGAAGATGAGGGATTGAAGGGTGGCGTGGTCCCCTCTCTCCAAGTTTGTAAAGGTCACGTTTTCACAGAGCTTGCCACTCTGTCAGGGAATTTAAAGTCCCAAGTGCATGTGACAAAGTAATGAAAGAATATCTAATGAGAAGTGGAATAAAAGAGAAAGTGAAAATGGTCCAAGGACAAGGCAAGCCTTTGAGGATGCCCTGGCACTCGGTTTACAGATGGTTTATCCCTCGGGCAAGTGGTGCCCTGCCCCCACACTCTGGCCTGGCAGCATCTCCACTGCTCCGTAAGGACTTTCCTCTCTGTCAGGAGTGCTCGTGTGAAAGGCACTGGCGGTTATGCGGTCCTCATGCATCTGTACTATTCTCACCCCTGTGTTCCTAGAAGACTTTTGTTCAAGAAGAGAAGAAGCTCTGGGCTCTCTGATTTTATCCCAATTCCCTGCCTGCCCTCGAGAGTCCCACTTCCCGGTGAGAACTTCCATTCCTGGAAGAAACTTGTCTTTGGGTCATGGCAACATGGGAGTGTTGGGTCTGTGAAGACAGTACAAGGAGGACACAAATGGCAACGAGCAACGTGATGCAATGACTCACGGTCACACTGCAGAATCTAGATGCTTTAGAACAGTCAAGACTCTCTTCTGAACGTGTTTCGCATACAAGGTGCCTGCTAAATTCTGGTGAAACTGTTATGAGTGAGTGAGATGCTTTCTCTGCAACTCTGCCAGGGGTTTACCAATGCAATGAGTGAGGTGGACCCTCCGTCAGCAACAAACCATAATTGCATTTAATTCCTAAATTTAATTCAGTACCGAGAATAATTAGAAAACATATGCCTTGAGTACAAGATGGAAAGAGATGATAAAGAAGCCACAGAAATGAGGCTGGGTGACCCGAGTGGCTGGTGTTGGGTCAGAGGTGTAGGTGGCAGAGTAAACACAAGTTTTGCTAAATATATCCACAGATACTGGACTTCCCAGGTGGCTCTAGTGGTAAAGAACCTGCCTGCCAACTCAGGAGACATGGGTTCAATCCCTGGGTGGGGACGATGCCCTGGAGGAACGCATGGAAACCCATGCCAATTGTCTTGCTTGGAGAATCCCATGGACAAATGAGCCTGGCAGGCTGCAGTCCATGGGGTTGTAAAAAGTCAGACATGACTAAGGGACTAACTACATGCTTTAGAAGGTGAATCCATCCCAGGAGAAGAATCCATAGCACAGTTTCATGGAAACACAAGTGGAGAGACTGGTGGAGCCCTAGGAGGCTTCCTTTTTCAATCTGCCATCATCTGAAGAGTCTTTGATTCTAAGCTGCTTTAAATTTTCCAGCTGCCGTGAGCCTGCTTCCAAGGTTGTTATACATGGGTCAGTAAAACGTCTGATAATCAGTCACTTACCAGTGCCAGATCTGTTTCTAATGAGTTCAAAAGGGTTTGGTTCTTGTGGGTGGTGCATACATGCCTTCACTGTGTTCCACAGCTGTGTTACATTGGAGACAGGCATGCACCCGAGGTTTGACGTGAATTTGCTCCATCATTTGTTCCTTTACATGCATGTGTCTCTTGCCAACACTGCAGTAGAAGACAAGGACCCGGAATGAGGGAGAGACTGTTGTACATGTGTTTAAATGTTTATTACTGCTTACTTCCTAATTTCTTTGCACTTGTGTTGCAAAATATAGGAAAGAGGCAGAGAAAACAATTCTGTGTGGGTTAGAATAAAAAAAAAAACGGTCCTAAATTAAGGACCACCTTTTTAATGGCAAACAGTTGAGATGGAGAAGAATGTTTATTTACACAACAAAGACCGGAATGCATGGATTTGCAGCTGTCTTCATCTTCCATATTCATCAAGGACTTTTCACATATGGAGGATGCTCTTGGGGTCACTTGCGCTGACTTCTCCCCTCAGCGCAGCACGGCAAAGCAGCGGGTCTGGCTGCCCTGTCCTCGCTGGGGCTAGAGCCCTCCTCTCTGAGCAGCAACACATTGATGTCATTGCTTTGTTTCTCTTGTGAAATCACTTTGGTCCCAGCAACCACAGATGGACTCACAGGGCCAAAAGTTTGATTTTTAGAAGATAAAATTGGGTCAGTACCTAGGAAGGGCTTAGGAACTTAGAGGTCAGGGTTTGTGAATCTGGTGTCTTAGGCAAATCACTTCTCGGAACATTTTCTGTGATAGAAGCTACATTTTGCTGGGGGTGGCTGCACTTGCCCTCCTTGCCAGGAGTCGAGTTGAATGCCCGTGCCCCCAGTACAGTTCCTTTCTGGAGATGGGGTGGTGGGCAGCAGCTTCCGGGATGACCACCCTGGGCAGGACCAGGCTCAGATACGTGGTAGAGACTGTGGACACTCACACATCAAGTTTGCACAGAAGAATGAAGGTGAATAAACATTTGTGCATGAGAGTCTCATACGGTCTTGGTAAAATGACCCTTTTGCTGTGAGCACAGCTCTGGAAGTGATCTCAGTGGGGATGTGGAACTCCCGGGGGGCCCCTGCTGGAATCTGGTCCAGGATGACTCTCTGCGTGTCCTGTACCTTCAGCGACACTGGATGCGGGTGAATGTGGGTTTATGAGCACAGCAGGTTCCACGTGACAGTCCCTCTGTAACGTGACTTTAAGCCATGTAACTATCTGAGCTCCTGGAAGAAGTGGGGTCAGAGGTGTGAGGGGTGGACGATGAGGAGATGCATCTTTGTGCCTATGCTGGAGGGATGACAGCCCAGGGCATGTGTTAGTGGTCTCCCCCTGCCCCCTCCAGGTGGGTGGGCGCCCTGTGAACAAACACACGCACCTTGAAGGAAGTGCCGCGTGGCAGCCCAGACCCTGTAAACAGCCCCCGGGCCGTGCGAGGTCCCTGCCCAGCTGTGCAGAAGCTTCAGTGCTCATGACTCGTTTCCCTCCTTATCTCTAAGCCACTTGACGGTAGAGCAGGACAACCAGATGTAATGTGCAGCTAGAGGAAAAAAATACCTGAGAGAAATAAGAAACTGTTTATGAAAACTTGGCTTCTTTTACCAAAAAATCATTTCATATTAATCATTCTCAAAGAATGGGGCACATATGTGAAATCAGATACACAGATCAGAGTATTAAAACATTAAAAAAATGTGTAAATTCCAACTGCTATGAGTTTGCCGAAGATAATCTTGATTTTTTAAAAATATGTTTCCCATTTATTGTAACATTTGAATGCACTCCAAATCATCTTTCGTTCACATTTCTTCTCACTTTTGTTTGTGGATGTCCAAAATAAGGACAGCAGGGAAGAAAATAAACTGCAGCCCATTTCCTCCTTTTCTCCTTAAATAGAAGAGCTTTAAAATTCAATTTTGCTTACTTATTTTGCCTTTGAATCACTGCAGGAGGATGGAGGCCCCATGGCCTGTGGACACAGCTCCGGGTGTGAGAGAAGGTTCCTGCAGGAGACGGGTCCCTGGTCATCTCAGACGCTCCCTCCTGGCTCCCAACTTTGCCCCAAGTCCTTAGGGTCAAAAGGAGCCTGTCTTTCTGGGATGGGTTCTTTTAAGTGGAAAACCCGCCGGGAGCCATCACTCAGAAAATAACAGCACATAGCACCTCTTTCCCAGAGTACGTCACTTGTGCACACACACGCTCACGCTCCCGTCACATAACCCTTGGCGAGGTCCTGTGGACTTACATCCACGTACATGGATCAGGATCCATCCCATGTGTCAGGATCCATCTACAAGGATTCTACATGCTAGGCTCCCGCCACGTGGGCTGAATGCTGGGAGTGGGTGGGCTAGCAGGGGGTTGTTCAAAGCTGAAGCCCCGGAGAAAGTCAAGGTGGGGAGGGTGGTGGGCAGTGCCCTTAGGGGCAGCAGGGTGGGCAAGGGCTGGAAAGAGCACGCACTGAAGAATGGGAAGCCGGGGGTGATGGGATCTGACCACTGTCTCAGAAGAGAGTTGGCTACTCTCTAGGGATGGAGGAGGTGGAATCTGAGTAGGAGCTCCCGAAGACACCTGGGCCAACAGATGAACAGACAGACAGACAGACAGGAATGGGTACTTCAGAATACATCAGTTGGAGGCAGAATGGTAAGATTTTGTGCTTGAATGTAGGATGGTGAAGGGAGGACTGCCTGGATGGTTCCAGGGTGCAGGGGGAACACCTGATGTCAGAATTCCAGGCTCCAGAACTCTGAGAGTAAATGTCCATTGTGTAAAAGCCCCCAAGTTTGTCGTACTTGTTGCAGCATCTGGAGTGGACTAGACACCCTTTGCACCTTCATATGATCTCTTTTTTTTTTGGTCTGTGATGGACAGCTACTCCTGGGGTCTGCTGATGCAAAGTGTTCAACAAATCCCAGCGCTGTATTCCACCCTTTGATTATATGTGCGTTCATGTTAAGTCACTTCAGTCCTGTCTGACTCTTTGCGACCCTATGGCCTGTAACCAGGATCCTCTGTCCCTGGGATTCTCCAGGCAAGAATACTGGAGTGTACTGCCATCCCTGATGCAGAATAAAATCTATGTTACAT